TGATTGTCGAAGAGATTTAACCCTATTTTTTATATACTAATGATAGTAATGCACTTAATAATTTTTATCTAATTAAATAATGTACCAAAGAATATAGACTAATAACATGCAAAAAGTAGACAAATTCCCTTACCTTTAAAAATTTTTATGGCTTTCTAACTATATGCAAGAGTCATTACAAATTCATCCAAGCTAGTCATTAACTTTCTCATGGAAACGATGTTGGTACTCTGAGTGAAATTCACATTTAACCATTCAGAACATATCATTATACAATACATAATTTGATACATGAAAACACTGACATTCTATTGGTTATAGGTAACATATAATTAAACTTAAGAGAGAACTATTAACCATTACCAGACAGCTCACAGGTGAAAAGCCATGTCATTAAATTTGTTGACCCGCATTCAAAATTTTACTGAACTGTTATTTCATGAATTTATGTCAATACGTTTGGTATTAAACTATGGATTGTAATTCAGATTTTAGTATTCTATGTTACTCAATCTAAGCATTAAAAAAAACAGTTAAACATCGATTTTTGTGTGTCACGTAGTATGTTGAATGCAACACTGGTTCAAATTAGATGTTTGTGATGTCAAAATACTAAGTCTAGAGTTTCGTACGAATTAGGAACTCATATTACCAAATTTGACAAGCTAGAATATAAAATAAGAACTTCTTATCTTTTTTGTTTGGTAAGATATTGCTTATGCAATGAATCAAACACAGTGGCACCCTGCCCACCACTTTCCAATTTTGGAAATGCTTCCTTATATATATATGACATGAATAACCAATCAAAATGTGAGAATATTCCCCTAGTGGCTTTCTTAGCCATTTTAAACTCTTAGAATGCCATCTCTTTCTTTTGAACCAAGATTTCAAGGAGATACTTGTCTTTAGCCTGCTTGAAATTTCATATTTTTTTAGACTGAAATACAGCTCAGTTACTAAGCTTGATAAATTATAGTGGAATTCTGTGGTACTGATATAGTAATTAACGATTTTTTGGTTATTCAACTGTATATATAAAAAACCTAAAAAAATTATTTCGTTTCATATCCTCCATATGCAAAATTTTAAATGGCTAAGCAACCTACATTAAGCATCAATCAAGTACAAAGGTCATAACTACAAGAGATAATTGTTTGCTTCACTTCTTTATTTACTGTTCTATGTTTTAGGAAAAAGAAATTTAAGAACTTATTTCTACATAGCAATAATCTATATACATATTTAATGTATAATAACTGAAATGTGACTGTTTTTTACAAAATACTAGTCCACTAACACACAGCCAAAACAGGTCACTTTGTAAAGACTAAAGGTCATTTTATATTATTGAATATGGTAACATTAGTGTATGTGTGCCATGTCATTGTAACTTCTGTATTGTTAGCCAGGCACAGCTGAAAGGTCAATATATTAAAAATATAATTATATATAAATGTATAATGTTACAGGATTTAAGCTATTTAGTCTAAATATTTATGTTTTAGTGTTCTAATCTATTGTCATTCTAGAATGAAAGAGGCATAATTTATATATTTATTTCC